AGTGGGATTCATCCCAAGGATGCAAGGTTGGTTCAACATAGGCAAATCAATAAATGTGATACACCACATCAAGAAAAGCAAAGATAAAAACCATATGATCATCTCTATAGATGCTGAAAAAGCATTTGAGAAAATTCAACATTCTTTCATGATAAAGACTCTCTACAAGTTAGGTATAGACAGAAAGCATGTCAACACAATTAAAGCTATATATGATAAGCCACTGCCAATATCATCCTGAATGAATGGGAACTAGACAAGGATACCCACTCTCACCACTCCTATTCAACATAGTGTTGGAAGTACTAGCCAGAGCAATCAGAGAACAGAAGGAAATAAAGGGCATCCAAATTGGAAAGGATGATATATCGAATAGCCTAAAGCCTCTATAAAAAAGACTCCTAGAGTTGATAAATGATTTCAGCAAAGTTGCAGGATACAACATCAACACACAAAAATCAGTAGCATTTCTATACTCCAACAGTGAACATGCAGAAAAAGAAGTCAACAAACCTAGCCCATTTACAATAGCCACCAAGAAAATAAAATACTTAGGAATAAAGCTGACCAAGGATGTGAAAAATCTCTATGAAAAGAACTACAAATCACTGTTGAGAGAAATTAAAGAAGACACAAGAAGATGTAAAGATATCCCATGCTCTTGGATCAGAAGAATTAACATTGCGAAAATGTCCATATTGCCAAAAGTGATCTACAGATTCAATGCAAACCCCACCGAAATTCCAATGGCGTTTTTCTCTGAGATGGAAATAGCTATCCAGACATTTATATGGAACAACAAAAGACCATGCATAGCCAAAGCAATCCTGACCAAAAAATATAAAGCTGGAGGGATAACACTACCTGACCTTAAACTATATTACAAAGCTATAATAACCAAAACAGCATGGTACTGGCATAAAAATAGATACACAGATCAATGGAATAGAATAGAGAATGCAGAAATCAATCTATACACCTACAGCCATCTGATCTTTGACAAAGGCAGCAAATCTACATACTGGGGAAGAGACTGCATTTTCAACAAGTGGTGCTGGGAAAACTGGATACTCATATGTAAGAGAATGAAACTAGACCCATACCTTTCACCATATACCAAAATCAATTCAAAACGGATTAAAGAATTAAATAGACATCCTGAAAAAATAAAACTCCTTAAAGAAAACATAGGGGAAACACTCCAGGAAGTAGGAGAGGGTACAGAATTCATGAATAAGACCCAAAAAGGAAAGGCAACTAAAGGAAAAACAAATGGGATTATATCAAACTAAAAAGCTTCTGCACAGCAAAAGAAACAATCAAAAGGGTAAAAAGACAACCAATAGAGTGGGAGAAAATATTTGCAAAATATACATCTGACAAAGGATTAATATCCAGAATATACAAGGAACTCAAACAACTTTACAGCAAAAAAACAAACAACCCAATTAAAAAATGGACAAAGGAGCTGAATAGGCATTTCTCAAAGGAAGATATACAAATGGCCAACAGACACATGAAAAAATGCTCAACCTCACTCAGCTTCCAGAAAAGGCAGATCAAGACCACTTTGAGATACCATCTCACTCCAGTTAGGACAGCTAACATCCAAAAGACTGAGAATGATAAGTGCTGGAGAGGTAGCGGAGAAAAAGGAACTCTCATACACTGTTGGTGGGGATGCAAAGTGATGCAGCATTTATGGAAAATAGTATGGAGGTTCCTCAAACAATTACAGATAGATCTACCATACGACCCAGCTTTTCCACTGTTAGGAATATACTCAGAGGAATCAAAATCATCATGCTGAAGAGATACCTGTACTCCAGTGTTTATCGCAGCTCTATTTACAATAGCCAAGAGATGGAACCAGCCCAAATGTCCATCATCTGATGAGTAGATAAGGAAACTTTGGTATATCTACACAATGGACTACTACTCTGCTATAAAAATGAACGAAATACTACCATTCGCAACGACATGGATGGACTTAGAGGAAATTATATTAAGTGAAACAAGTCAGGCACAGAAAGAGAAATACCACATGTTCTCACTTATTTGTGGGAGCTAAAAATAAATAAATAAACACACAAACAAATAAAGGGTGTGGGGGGAGAAGACAAAATAACCAAAAAAACTCCTTGAATTATTTAAGTCAAGTGAACAGATATGATGGGGGGGATGGGGAGAGGGTGGAGAGGAACAGGTAAAGGGGCCTGAGAATCAACTACATTGTATATTGAGAAGTAAAATTTTTTAAAAAGTAACAAATACCCAATATTAGTATTAGAAACAAACAAGCTTGAATACAAAATAATATGACTTTTAGGTTATATTATTCAATAAATTTAAATATGTAGCTACTGGTATAAAAGTGGAAGGCAGTACAAAATAACTCCCAAAGCCTTACAACTGTATATTTCCCTGATTCAGCAATTCTTTTTCTACAATTTTATCCTAAGGAAATAATTAGACAAATTTTGAAGAGGTGTTATACAAAGATGTCTATTGGTGCAGACTTTGAAATATGCAAAATTTGGGAATATAAATTTCTAACAATAGAAGAATAAATAAATTATGCTACAATTTCAAAATGGAATACTATGTAACCATTAAAAACAATTATGCTAGATCTCAATGTATTGACTTAGAAAGTATTTCATAGTTAACATACTGCTAAGTGACAAAGATACATTTTAAAACAATATTTATATTACAACTCCATCTTTTGTGAGAAAATATATACCAATATGCATAGAACAAACCCTAGAATTGTTACACTAAAAGAGTAAAGTGAATGTCTGAGTGATTGAAAAAAAAAAGTTATTTTTTATAAATATGTTATTAATTTGTAATTGGATTTTTAAATTAATAAACCAAAATTTTTTAAATTTCTCAGTTTTTATTTCTATGACCCACATTAAAAAGAAAAAAAAAGCTCTTTGGGGTCCTCAGTTTTTAAGTTGTAAAGGAGTCCTGAGACCAAAAAGAAAAGAGAACTGAAGACTGAAGATACAGGAAATTACCAAACAAATGAATAATACACTCAAAGAAAATAGGTACAGCAAAGTTTTAAAGGTGGAAAAAAGAGGCAAATGACTTATTCAACTATAGACTTCATTTGAATTTGTTATCAAAGGAAACAAAAGGTCATAGAAGTAAGTTAAAGTTATTTCAATCAAGCTTTTAAAAGCATACCACGAGAAGATATAATTAAGAAGTACTTCAATTTTAGGAAGCTATTTATTTCAAGAATCTTATCATAGTATACTAAGAAATGAAGAGAGATAGGAACAAGGCCTATAATGCACTTTTTAAAGATGTATGTCCTTCCTCGTAAACCTCTTCATTATAAATGATGTAGAAGAAAATACGAAGTAAACTACCTTATTTTAAACGTAATTATTTCTATTATTCCAACTTCTAAGACACAGAAAAAGAATAAGGTGCTGAGTGAAAACCAGCTAGATTTATTAGCTGCAAGACTATTTTGTGATTTAAATCAGTGGTAATATTACCATCTTGAGGCAAAATCAAGTATTGCAATTTTGAATGGCAAAGAATCTGAAAAGTTTGTTAACTATGCTTTTGATGAAAGACAGTCAAGTATTTTCCTTCTCCATACGCACCTCTCCACCATGCCAACCCTATGTAAAAAAGAAAAAATCTTTAAGTTCTTTAATAAATGAAATAGAGATTTTTTTTTAAGTCCAGAAGAATGTTATTTAAACAGAGAAGTAAAGGAGATGTCCTGATAAAATAGTAAAGTTAAAAATGAAAACATAGCCAAAAACCCAACAACTGATGAAAAATGTTTCAATGTGTCAACTTATCAATTAAAACTGCCATGGCTAATTCTTATAGTGCAAAATTATACTTTAAAAACACAGTATTAGATTAATAAAAATACTTGTGTTTGGTAATTCAATATTGTTATTTCATCTTTATAAGTTATAATCACTGCCACATTTAAATTCTTCCACTTTGTAATAGAAGAGGTACTAGCATCCTTACTATTTTCCCTTCATCTTGGCCAATGTAATTGTCATGTGAATTTTCCCAAGCATGCAAAGAACAATGTACATGTTACTGAAATCTAATCCAAAATTTGCTTTTTTTTTTTTGGTGGCCAGCTGGTATGGGGATCTGGACCCTTGACCTTGGTGTTACCAGCATCACACACACCCAAGTGAGCTAATCAGCCAGCCTACCTTCATTGCTTACAGACACTACTCTATTGAATTTCAGCTAAACCCAATAAAACCTATTTTTGTGTGTGTACACACACACATACACACACACAAGTAGCATAAAGATAAGAATCAGAGGAGGAAAGGAGGGATAAAGGCTAGAAAGATAGAATAACATGTTTTACCTTTTATTAACTAGTCTTTTCCAATTTAAATTAATACACACAAATAATACGTAAAATAAAACCTTAAAAGCAGAGGTCTAGATCCAATAAACCCAAGAATAAAGATAAAATGTATACAATTTCCAGCCATCATCTTATATATCCAAAACAGTGACATAGCTCGAATAATCTCCATACTCTTAACTCTCCATTTGGCTTGCAGTACAATAACAGACTTACAGCATACACAGAAAGAGAAAGAGATAATGCACAGCATGCAAGCACCCACCTTTCCCTCTGCTACCCCAGCAATGGCAGCTGGATTACTCCTTGGCTAGTCTCAATTACATTCTCTGAAAAGAACAAATGGGTGCTCCCAAAAGCCCAAACTACTTAAGTTGTTCCTCTAAAGTAAGGCTTTGTCACCCTTGTGAAATACAATATTAAAAAGAAATAGTTTGAGTAACCTGAGTTTTTAGATCAATAATTACATGGGGTGATGATTTATACTGTGTTCATTTAATGGAAATGATTTTGAGGTACAAGCCCTTTCACCTTAAGAACATTACCCTAATTAAAAGACATCACCAAATAAGAATTTTTTTCTGAAGCTACAAATTTTTCTAATTTACTAATTATATACAACCTGTTGATGACTGCAATGTTTGGTGCAAGCTGTGTGGCAACTGAAGGGTGAACAGAGGTGAGTGGCTGCTATTTCTGAAGAAGTCTTCTGTTGCTTTAGACTGCAAAACCTTGGTTTCCCAGAGCTGCAGGAAAAAAAGTTTTGTTTAAAAAAAAAAAAACACATTAGGATATTTATTTCTAATTTTAAGCTTTTTAAAATTAAGTTATGTGGCTGCTATTTCTGAAGAAGTCTTCTGTTGCTTTAGACTGCAAAACCTTGGTTTCCCAGAGCTGCAGGAAAAAAAGTTTTGTTTTAAAAAAAAAAAAAACACATTAGGATATTTATTTCTAATTTTAAGCTTTTTAAAATTAAGTTATCAGCTAACGGCACAATGAATGGGTAAGTACTAAACTACAATTGAGGGATTAGAACTATAGTATATCTGTTTTTTAAACTGAAAAAAAAAAAGACAGGAAGAGAAACTTGTATTATCTACAAACCTGCTTCAAGTCTTTTAAGACTTGTTCTTCTACACCTTCTTCAGCAAACAGAGCCCTCACTCCTTCAATCACATCTTCAATTACAGATTTGTAGAGTATAGGCTACATGAAACAATTTTTAAAGTTTCAATTTCTCAAGTTTGAATGTAATTAGCCTGAAAAGATAAACAGTGCACACTTTCTAACCCTGTAGTTCAAAGAAAAACCACCATAAGGATTTTTACTAAGTACATCCTACTCCCAGTATAGTCTTAGCTTTCCATAAATTGTGTTAACTTCAGGCCCATAGTCTTAGCCTATCTACAAAGCTGAATTATAGGACTACAATAAAATATGAGATAATCATCTCATAAAGTTGTATGGTTACTGTTGTGTTACTTGACTTTTGTGTCAGTATTTAACCACCCAACTCCTTTTAAAAAGGGAAATTAATTTAAGGCAGCTGGAAATAAACCTTCTGTTTTCAATTTACCTTTTTCTCAAAGTTGCCAAAAGAGCTTTTTCAAGGTTCACTATGAGTATATTATTTCCACAAATGTAAATAAACTCCAAGCCATAAGACTGGGTTAAGCACTTATAAAAGAGTAACCAAAGCCCATCCCACTTCCAAAATACATGTAATCCAAAAAAAATATTCTGATCCACTGTCAAGTAAAAGTACAACTGCACCAAAATGGAGATCCTAACAGAAACTAAGAAGAGCATGAACAAACCTTAACCTTCCACAATGTGCATATTGCAGAGAACAAGCAACATCCTACAATGCTTCCTAGTAAAAACATGCCATAACAAAATTAAGCTGATTTCTACCCAGATTAAACACTGGTTATATCAAAAGAACAATGGGCATTTAAAACAAACTCAGTCCTTCAAATCCGTGTAAATTGTGCTCCATCCTGGCCCCCAGTCCAAAATGGCAATCCTAAGTGTGCTGACAATACTGACCTAGTGAAAGTTCTCTGATAAGAAATAGCAAAACAAGAATTTAGTTGAGTTGCTCTTATTTCAAATTGCTTAATCAGGCCAAAATGAAAATTGTGGCATTCTAGGATTGCCTTTTCATACAACCCAGTAAATACTCTAAATACACCTGCTCACATTAGGAGTAGCTAGGTTTTAAACTAATCTTTCTGAAGATCCAGGGTAAGCCTATGAATAGGCCAATCAGTAACACTTAAGTAATATGTTATTCACAAACATATCCATTAAGACTAAGTGCCCCTTGATTAGTTGCTTCTTCTAAAACAGTTTACCCTGATAAAGGCATACTAAATTGATGCTCAGCGGCAGTCCTAGCTCGTGTGATCACACTTAAAGCTAGACGAAAAAAACTCCTACAGCTAAAAACATCTTTAAGATCTGCCCTCAAAGTATAATGGCAGCAGTCAGAAAGAACGCAGAACACCATTTTTCATAACCGGAATAGGTATTGAACATAGCTTCTCTTCTAAGACTAAAGTTGGACTTTATATTGCTTTCCCTGTCTGTTATCTCTATTAAAACTATGATTAGTCCAGAAGTCCATCTTAACCCCTTCTCTAAAGGAGTTAGGTCTACACCCATACACTCTCCATGGAGTTAACAAACAGGTAAATTGGTATATCTGGTAAGTTTATATTCAAGTAGACATATTTTGCATATCTTAAAACATTATCATAAGATGGATATACATTAAAATAACCTCTCTAAAATGAACCCTTTTATGCTGTATATGTATTCATGAAATCCATATAATAACAGATCTGGACAATCACACCACCATTCGCGAAACGTGAAGTCTGTTGAGATGAACTGAGAATAAAAATGAATCCTTTTTTTTCTTTAATTCAGGTTGATTGATGAAGGGTCTCCCAAGTGCTAGTCAGCCTGTAAACTCACAGTGAGGTTTAGGTACCCCTTAGCGGGTAGGAGGGCAATGTATGTGGGTTGTAGACTCTTTTTCTTTAATTCAGGTTGATTGATGAAGGGTCTCCCAAGTGCTAGTCAGCCTGTAAACTCTCACAGTGAGGTTTAGGTACCCCTTAGCGGGTAGGAGGGCAATGTATGTGGGTTGTAGACTTAAGCATTAAGATGCTAACGGATGAGGAAATGGGGGGTGGGTGCAGGGGGAAGACTCTAAAAACGTGGTGGGGTAACGTGAAATATCACATTACGTGTTATATCAGGTTAGTAAATACTATGGCTTGAAATCAACAATGCTCATCCTAAAAGTAAGAATTCGAGTACAACTGAAGCCTGGAATTTTCTAACCATATAGGAAATCAACAATGTTAAGGGGGAGTTCCACCTCTGAAAGCCTAAACGCTCCAACCTAGACAACCTCAGTCTGGGTGAGAAGGAAAAAAGGAAGAACACTTGTTCTTCCCGTGGGGCCAGGTCCAACTTGCTAAACTACTGGCTCTTAACGGCTTTCTCCAACACGGAGGAGAGGACCAGCCCGTAAGGCACAGGGCTTGTGAAAGTCTGTGAAGCATCGAGGGGGTCAAAGGGTGTGCAGGGTACAGCTGCCGTGAACCGGGAGTCCGGTGGCGCTCCCTTTACACAGAGCCTGCGGCCCTCCTTACCACCGGGTTGGCGCAGGCCATGTCAGCAGCTCCCAGGGGCCCTCCGCGCCTGCGCAGCACGCGGCGCACCGCCAAGGGAGCGCGGGCAAGTTTTAAACAATAACAAGTTGCGCGCGCAGCCGCGGAGAGCGCCAGGGGCGGGGCGGAAAGGTTAATGAAATAAACAGGTTTGACTGGACACGTGGCGCCAGGCTAGGGAAGAGGCAGTTTCTAACCGCTTTGAGCCGTTCACGTGATCCATGAAGGACCTTTGTTTCCTCCGTCTGTGAAATAAAGACTGAGAAAATAGGGGAGGGGCAATGGAGTAGAAGATCCCAGCTCAACTTAAGCTTTAAAAGCGGCGGGAAGAGGAAAGAGGAGAGACTAGTGGTGCCTGTCCTCTCCTTTTACCAATTTCCGTTCCTCCCCTACACCCCACTCGCAGCTGCTCCGTTTTGTTAGCTAAAAGTATAAGAGTCAAACCCTTCTAAGACGGGTTCTCAAAGTGTAGGACAACAGCATCTAGGAACCTGTTAAAAGTGCAAATGATTGGGGTCCACCCCTGACCTACTGAATCAGAAACCCGGAGGATGGAGTTCAGCATTCAACTCTCACGTGCTCTCCAGGTGATTCTGATCGGCGCTAAAATGATATCCACTGGCCTAAGACAAAGATTTTGACTTTGGGTGCACATTAAAATCACCTGGGGAGCTTTTAAAACGTTTGGTGCCTGAGTCCCTCCTCAGAAAATCTTGTTCTAATATGCAACCAAGGTGGAGAACCACTGCTAAAACCAAGTCAGCACGCCAGTACCATCCAGGCTCCTTTTCTTCCTCAGGCAGAAATCACTGTCTTTTGGCCTGCAGTAATTCCCTCGTCCCTAGACTGAAGGGCAGGGCATCTAGGGGCTTACCTTACCTAGCTAAGGCTGAGGATAAATGTATGCACAGATAACCTGGAGGGTTAGAAAAGGGAAAAAGTCATCTGTTGCCACCACTCTGCCTTTTAAACAGCCTTTGTAGCCTACAGATAGATCTAAACAGATGGTTATTTGACAATTAGAAATCCTATTAGGTTTTAAATTGGCTGTTTCTTCATTTATTTGTGCATATAAGTGCAGTAGAACTGTTTATGCCCTACCATTTGCTTTGCCTGGGTCAGTTACCTTAAGGTTTGTGAGTGTCAAGCAGCTGATTTATATGATGCCCTTTAGAAAACTTTCCTAAATTGAAAACTATTGGAAATTTACATAAAGCCAAGAAGTTTATATAATTTTAATGGCTATATCTCTCTACCTGGCAATTTACTATCAGGAGTATTCAAAATGACTTATCTTTCATCCAAAGTAGAAAATCTAAAAGCAGCCATTGATTCCTACTGATATTATAAAATCTAGTTAAATTATTCAAACTGGGAAATAAAGCTGGAAGACTTCTTGTTTTCCATTTTTTTCATAGCAAGCTTTTAAAACTTTATTCCTAAATGCGTAGAATTGGTAATCACCTAACTCTTGTAGCAGCGTGCTGTTTTATTTCATTATATATTATACCCTTTTGAGGGCTATACTGCAGATCATGCAAATTTTTGAAATTAAACTTGGACTTTGGTACCCATAAAAAGCATGCCTAAGAGTTGAATTGTTATTGCTTAATACACTTAGCATATTCAGGTTATGGATAGGTTATGCGATGTTAGCAGAGAAGTATCAGCACCTTTCCATTTGACCCTTATGCTCTGTCTGAATGGTCACTAATAGGCTCAGCTCTAATTTCCTCCCAATAATAGACAATGACCACTAGAGGAGGTATCCTTTAACCAAAGTTCTAGGTGAATCCAAGTTGCAAATCTCCTATGGACCTGTAGTAGCCAGCTTCAGAGTTGGCCTCTAGTGATCCCAGCCTGCTGGTGTTCACAGCCTAGTGTTGTCCCCACCCACAGTATACCATGGTTTGTCTGGGTGACCAATAGAATAAAACAAAAGTGATGGTGTGTTGCTTCTGAGATTAGGTTATAAATGGCTGTGGATTCTTTGTTGGGCTGTCTCTCAGGTCACTTATTTTGGAAGAAGTCAGCTTTCACATCATGCAGACACTCAAGTAGCCTATGGAGAGGCCCATGTAACAAGGAACTGAGACTCCAGCCCATAGTCAGCAAGTATCAGAAACCTGCAAACAACCACAAGATTTAGCTTGGAAGTGGATCCTTCTCCAGTTGAGCTATCAGATGATTGCAGCCCTGACTGACAGCTTAACCACATCCTTATGAAAGACCTTGAACCAGAACTACTCTCTAAGTATCTTCTAAATTCCTGATCCTCAGAAACTGTGTGAGATAATAAATACTTGTCATTTTAAACAGTTAGGTTTTAAAGTAATTTGTTACACAGCATGGGATAACTAGTACAGGGCCCATTCTCTGATTGGACTGTGACTAGAGGGGGCTTGGTTCTCCCTCATTGTAATTTCAGCATCCAAAGGTTTTTGAGTACACTCGTTATTCTCAAGAGCCTTTGGAAAGCATGTAAAGGAATCATCATAGACTGTTTTTTGATAGCCTTGACCGAAGATTATCATGACACAAGCAGACTGTTATAGTCATGTAATGGTCACATTTCTTTTGTCAATTTTTCAAACTCAGAGGGAAAATGTGTTGCATACACAAAGCACTTTTGATGCTAAAATGTAAATTTCAAAATCCCAAAGCCTCAGTGAGGCAATGTTAAAGTGACTATTTTTTATGTTAGTAATAGAAAATAAAAAAAGGAATGCTGAGCTTTGATCCTCCTTTGAGTACTTGGTTCTTTGAAATTACACCTGTGCCAAAACATAAAGCTCTTCCCCAACTGCCCATCAGAGTTTAGAGCATCAGATTTTCATTTTTTTCTGCTTTGTTTAGAAACCATCATATATATTTAATATATCTCTGGTAATCACTACCAGTTTTTGCAGAATTTAAGCAAATCTTAATAATCCAATTAATTTCTTTGCATTCTGCATGTTTTCATTACTTTTTTCTGGATGTTTTAGTGATATTGTTCCAAAAGTAAAGAAACAATTTCACTCTGCTTATTGTGAGAAAAGGCCATATCTATGAAGTTCTTTTTTTGGACAAGAATGTGAAAAGAAAAAACTTTTTTGAGACAGCAATTATCTTACATAATAAACTTTACAATCAAATCTATGGTATTCCAGTAACTGTATGGACTCTAAATAATGTATATATCAGTAATGAAAAATACAAATTAGTCTTTGAGCACATGGCTTAAGGCAACAAATATTCATAATTAGTTTCTGAACATTTTGCAACCAATACACTAAACCCAGCAGTACTGTGTTTCTCTGCCTCTGTTTCATCCTTCACATCTCCCAAGAAATGAAAATCCAGATAATCTCTGCCTCACCCTGTAACTTTAAAATGGTTACAACATTGGCAGTTCTGATTTATTTATATTCTTCATTTCTGTGATACTTTCCGTATTCTAATACAACTCCAAAATCAGCTTACATTATTTGAACATCAAACACTGTTCTACCTTGATGAATCCCTCCTCCCACCCCAACAAGATTTCAGTTAAAATGACCGTATGATACAATGCTATGGCCAACTAGTGACCTTATCGCACAGTGGAACTCTGTTAATCAGCACATTACTGCCTATTTCAAAATATTTTAATATTCAAGAGGTGTATACATTGTGTACATATAATTAACTCATGGAAAGTATGCAGGATGACTTCAAACACAATTTTCCCCATCACTACTTTTTCAACATTTTCATCAGTCTTTATAAGGTTTCAGTAATTTCCTAGCTAATAAATGATTCCATTTTCATTTCTTTAATCATAATGTGTATAATCACACATGAACATGAAATATTAGCAAGGATAATGTCCATTGTCTTCAGTTAATTCTCCAACCTAAAATCCCCCTTAGAGAAGAGGGAGATAAAGACCAATCTTCTGAACTTAAGGCTATGACTGGAGAGAACCAACCAGCTTTGTTCTCACGGTAACTCTACTTCTTTCCTAATTGGTCTCATTTTATAAGAGGTAAATGGCAGCATCTTGAATGTCCTATTATTGTTGTCTTATGTGCTTCAAATATCAGGAGAGACAGGGATAACATGAAATAAACACATTTCTTCCTATTCCTTCAGCTAAGAACAGCTAAAAATTCTGGATATTATAAGTAAAACAAAAATAAGGAGACTCTGAAAGGTAGAGAGAAGATGACAGACCGGTTAGGGACCTCACAACCCCCAAAATGACACAGTGGTGAGTTCCCTGGTTTTCTTTTTGCCTCATATATCCAAGACTGGGTGCTGGAGAAGCTGGCAACCTAGAAATATCAATGGTCACAGACAAAAAAAACCCCACCATACTGCTCTCTGTAGCCAAGGACCAAGAAAGGGTCATCAAGACAGAAAACTCTTAGACAATAACCACTCTACTCCATCCAAACACCACAAAAAAACACTGCTGCCCCACTCCCACCCCTGTCACCCTTACCTGTAATTGGTTTTCTTTTGGCTTTGAAAGTGGGCAATGTCATGGTCCCATAAATTTAAGTACATTGTGATTTGTACGATTCGATTTGTTCCCGAAGTTGTAGTACCTAGCATTGTCCCAGCCACCTAAGAGGCTCCTAACAAATGCTTGTTTACTTGTGTATGTTTACTTGGGGTGAACTAGTGAGTAATTCCTTATCTGAATGTTTTTCATTTGAGGTTACATTTTATTATGTGAACAGGTCAAGGAAATTAAGCACAATGGTATTGTTTCAAGTGCAGGAAAAAAACCTTCTGCAGCTACACAATGGTTCCAAGACATCCTTAACAAGAGACACATGCTTTCATTTCACGAGGAGAAATAACACTTTATCGGATATTGTGTATTAAATGAGAAAACATGATCCCTGGCACATAATAAGTGCTAAAAAGCTAAGGGTGCTTCCTCTCTACTTTCACCAGCTTTCAAAAACAAGATTAAATCAAATTTTAAAAGAAGCACTTTAATCTTTTCAACCCCCTGAAGATATATGTGTGTGTTTATTAAGAAAAAGTGTATTTGTAACCATAAGTGTGATAGATTTTGAATTTCTTGAGGACTGAGGCTGTG